CTTTTGGCTTCAGACAAAAAAAAAACTGGCATTCGAATTCACCTCTGGAAAGTTTAACGCTCTCGAAGGTTGTCTGAGGAATTTGGAAGGTCATGGTTGGAAGCTAGCAGGATCCAAAGCAATTCAAGGTTATTACATTAAATGCTCTTAGCTTGACTCCACTGTGAAGCAACACCTGAAGTAAGTGAGAACAATACAAAGACCCAGGGGAAACACTAATTATAGCACTGACTAGCTGCTTATTTCAGCAATGTACTGTAGGCTTCAGAGAGAAAAATGAGAGGGCTTGAAGAACTTAACAAAGTGGATCTTTTAATAGCCTCAAGAAAAATAAACTTGACTCTGTTTTGATAGGAAGAACTATTTTTTTCATTGTTTTTTCTTCAATGATTCTGCATTCCAAATTTCAGGCTCTTTGGAAAGTCTCTCTTTTCCTCCTCCCCCATCTATTCTGATATAGATTGTTTTGCTCAGCTGTCTCTTTTCACTGTTTCTACGTTTCTGTAAGTCGCTTGTTTTGAAACTATGGTTCTCGGAATAAGCAACCCCCCACCCTCTATGTAACTGTTAGTCATAATGACTCGTTTCATTTCAAGATACATTTGCGATCTGGAAGTTCTTTGCCTGCTTCTGTTTTCTAAGGGATAAAGGAAGAACAGAGCCCGACGATGGCAGAGAAGTGTGACTGCATCGCCAGCATGTATGGCTATGATCTAGGGTGCCGCTTTGTTGATTTCAGGCCCCTAGGCGTTGGTGTCAACGGATTGGTCCTGTCAGCAGTTGACAGCAAAAGCTGCCGCAAAGTGGCTGTGAAGAAGATCGCCCTGAGTGATGCACGGAGCATGAAGCATGCCTTCCGTGAGATCAAGATTATCCGCCGGCTGGACCACGACAACGTTGTGAAAGTGTATGAGGTGTTGGGACCTAAGGGAGCTGATCTGCATGGGGAGCTTTTCAAGTTTAACGTGGTGTACATAGTCCAGGAATACATGGAGACTGACTTGGCTCGCCTGCTGGAGCAAGGAACGCTGAGTGAGGAACATGCCAAACTCTTCATGTACCAGCTGCTGAGAGGACTGAAGTACATCCACTCGGCTAATATACTGCACAGAGACCTCAAGCCTGCTAACATTTTCATTAACACGGAGGACCTGGTGTTGAAGATTGGTGACTTTGGGTTGGCAAGGATTGTAGATCAACATTACTCGCATAAGGTATGTGAAATGAAACCGCTGCTCTTTCCGTGTCAATCAGATTGCTCTCCAGGTCCAGGGGAGAGGGTGGGCTCAAACCAAATCCCCAAAACTCATCACAGCCCACAAATTTGAGGAGAGCTCCACTCTGGATTCATGTTCCGTTTGGGGCAGTGGACACATGTCTGACTTACACCAGTTTTGCATCGATGAAATTCTGTAGACTTCCATTTGAGTTAGTCTTGACTTAACATTGGTGTGAGAGGAGAACCTGCATCTTAGGCCCACTCTAAGCTAGGCTTCCACTGCCGGTTCTTTAGCTTCGTGGCATGATACGTGTTTATGACGGCAAGCAATAGGACCACAGCACTTCTCCTAAGGGAAAACCACTTATTGTTCCTATTCTGGGCACCTGTTGCAGGTGCCCAGAACTCCTTTCTGTTGATATTCTGTTGGATTTCTAGCAAATATTTCTTGGGTGTCAGTGCATAAAAGTTTCTCAACCTCTGACACTATTCCAAAATCATAGCAATCCATCTCTAGTGTATTGTTTTTCAAATGCAGTCACCGCAGTTGTATGCAGCCACCAATGGTGTTTTTTTGCAGCAGTGATGTGGGGAGAGGACAGCCTGTTTAATTTTGCTGTTGTAATTAGATCATCTCAAACTCTGAGGTTGGTGCTGCATCAGGTTCTAATTCTCTCCACCTTTTTCCAGTGTGAATGGTGGCTGTATCTATGCCATAGAACCTTCTCTTTGCTACACAATTGAGTGGCTTTTTGAAGAGTGATTAGCATGAGCCCAAACTAATCCCTCAGACCCAACTACTCTTGGGGTACTTGAAATCTGGGGATGTATCTACATGCTGCAAACTGCACATGAAGGAGCTTTTTTCCCCTCTCTTCTGTTCCTTACCAGCTCATCAGCAGGGTTTGAACTTGGGCCCTTCAGCACCAAAGCACATATGAGCTGGAGGAGGTAACAGCTAGCAGGAGCAGGCTGCTAAATCCTGTGGCCTAGCCACTTGGGGGAAGAGGAGGAGCACTATGACACACATTTCTCAATTGTGTGATACATGTGCCTGATGTAGCCATTCATATCTGTGAAAATGTGGCCACATCTGACTTTTCAATTCATGCTTGCAGAATTCTAGTAGTAGAATTTTATGCCCACTTTGCCTAATGTAAGTGACCATGCGAGGGACAAAGCAGTGGACGAGCAGGCCTCGGATCTCTCATCAGCAGAGCGTATTTCCATCACTTCACATTGCTTAACGTCAGATCCCGGCTGCACTGACCTTCCTCTGTGTTACTCTTGGCCCGACGTAGCCCTGCTCTTCTAACCTGCACCATCTTGCCAGAAAAGGTTGTGTCTGGGAACCCACTAAGACTTTGCTGAAACCACCAAACCTATTTCTCTAGTGCAGTCAGCCTGGCCTTTAGAGGTGAAGCGATAACACCATAAGAATGATCAAACTGGTCTATCTAGCCCAGTCTCCTGTCTTCTGAAAGTGGCCAGTTCCAGGTGCTTCAGAGGAAAGGAATGGAACAGGTAATCCTCACGTGATCCTTCCCGCGTCGGCCATTCCCAGCTTCTGGCATAGATGCTAGGGACAGACCCCTCAGAGCATCTGTTTACATCTCTGCCCATCCTAGCTCATAGCCATTGATGATCCATTCTCTATTACAGGGGTGGGGATCCTCAGGCCTGTGGGCTAGATGTGGTCCCCAGCCCCAGACTCTCAGGGCTCTGCCCCTCAGCATTGGGGAGTCAGGGCTGGTGCTCCAGTCCCCTCTCTGCCCACCGTGGGGCTGGAGCACACCAGTCTACTAGCCTGGGCCCCTCTAGGCTCTGGTGTGTAAGGGGAATTCCTCTCCTCAGTCGGGGGCCACCGGAATGGGTTGTTTTTTGGTTGTTTTGGGGGGTTTTTGCTTCTTTGTGTGGCTCCCGACTGATTTTCCTGTGGGTCAGAAGCCCCACCACCCCTACTCTCTTAACTTATGTAGTTCTTTTCTGAACCATAGAAATACATACTGCACCTGGTCCTAGGCAGCGCTCTCGTTCAGTGACTCTCAACCAGGACTCTCACACTTCTGTGGGTATGCAGAGGTCTTCCAGCAGGCACATCAACCTAGCTAGGTATTTTTCTAGTTTTACAACAGGCTTCATAAAATGCACTAGTAAAGTCAGTACAAATTAATACTTTCATAGATGAACTGACTATGGCTTTATATATTATACACTGAAATGTAAGTACAGTATTTCTATGCCTATTTTATAATTATGTGGTAAAAATGAAAAGTTAGCAATTTTTCAGTAATGATAGGCCATGACACTTTTGTATTTTTTATGTCTGATTTTGTAAGGAAGTAGTTTTTAAGGGAAGCAAAATATGGGGATATGCAAGACAAATCAGACTGTTGAAAAGGGTATCGTAGACTGGAAAGGTTGAGAGCCACGGAGCTAACTGACTTCCCCTGGGATTTTTGTATGCATAACAAGCGTAGACTATATCCTAAACTAATGTATCTCACCATCCTGCAATGCAGCCCTTTTCCTGCTTTATTTGAATCTCTAACCAACGCACAGTACATATTTTGGTACTGTTAGTGAACTAGGTCTGCTCTCCCTTTGTTTTTCTTTTGTCAAAAACATCCCACCTTTTATTCACTATATATTTGTAGTCAGCTAAAGGTAAGTATTTGCTGATCTGTTTGCCCTTTATCACAAAATCAGTCAGATCCTGATTGTTGTATGTATGTTCAGCTCTGGTTAGCCTGGCAGTCCCACTAATTAGTTCCTCTCTCTCGTTTCTGAGATGAGACATCTAAATAATAAGACTGTGTTCTCTTTAGACGCTAGCCTATTAGGAAACAGAAAATCTGTCATTTAAGGCTTCACAAAGCACTATGTAAACTTCCCCGCACAGACCGGCTCCCGCCTGCCACCCCACGCTGATACAAAGGCAGCAGCATAGGATGGCAGGGGGCTCCCTGGGAGTGGGGCCGGAGTGTGCTGGCTGCTGCCCCGCCCCCATGGACTATCGAATAGCTGTGTAACCGATAATATTCTGTGTGGTTACATGACTGTTCAATTAATCGCTGTCTAACATCCCTACTGTTTAGTGGCAGATGAATGTATTCCTGAGTATAGCTGACGTGTCAGTTGGTAAAATCTACAAAGCATGTTAAGATCTCTCTGAATGAAAGGCATTACAAAAATGTCAGATCATTATCATAGGTTGGGCTGCGGCAGCTTTTCCATTACCGTGGCTTGTGCAGAGCCCAACTGTAAGCCAGGCATTTGTGCACCTGTGGGAGTATACAAAAGAGGAAAAACCCCAAGGTGACCAGGTTTTAAACAAAAAGAACATAAATTACAAACTGAAGAAAAACATGACACATTCTTTACTCTGGGTTGCTTAGCACATAAATGCCCTGTGTGTGTCATGCACCACTAATACAATTTTCTTGAAATTTAGTTAAGCACGGCTGTGCTAACTGGACAGGTGGAGACACAAATGTTATTAAATCTTAGAAAACCCAGCACAACATAAAGTAGTATTACTGGCCCTTTGTTTTTAGTTTAAACAAGGAAGAATTAAGCATTTGAAAAAAAGCTGCTAATGACGTGTGTGAGAGCATAACTAATTAATTAATTTAGTAAAGGTCACAACTGATATTTCCCACCCGTTGCTTTGCTCATGTTTAACCTTCAAGGAGAGAGAATTTACATAAGAGGCGCATATTTGATGTTTTTATCATATCAATCAATCTCTTTTTTTTTTCCTTTTTTTCCTCCCAGGAGGAGAGCTGAGAACCACTGAGGGATAGCCAGGCGGTATGATGCAGGAAACTCCACCAGCAATAAATGTTTCAACCGGCAATAAAGATCAAATGACACTTGGGTTGGTTAACAAAAGACATACAAGGGAAAAGTGTTGGAATATTGAGCACAGAAATTTTCTGTGCTGAGCTCAGCTGATGAAAAACAAGTTTCAGTCAGAAAAGCAGTTTGCTTCTGTCAACCCTTCTGCCTATCAAATGGAAAATGGGGCCTGTATATAGAAAGAAGGCAGCAGAAAGAATAACAAAGTCTTACTGAGCTTTTGGCTTCAGACAAAAAAAAAACTGGCATTCGAATTCACCTCTGGAAAGTTTAACGCTCTCGAAGGTTGTCTGAGGAATTTGGAAGGTCATGGTTGGAAGCTAGCAGGATCCAAAGCAATTCAAGGTTATTACATTAAATGCTCTTAGCTTGACTCCACTGTGAAGCAACACCTGAAGTAAGTGAGAACAATACAAAGACCCAGGGGAAACACTAATTATAGCACTGACTAGCTGCTTATTTCAGCAATGTACTGTAGGCTTCAGAGAGAAAAATGAGAGGGCTTGAAGAACTTAACAAAGTGGATCTTTTAATAGCCTCAAGAAAAATAAACTTGACTCTGTTTTGATAGGAAGAACTATTTTTTTCATTGTTTTTTCTTCAATGATTCTGCATTCCAAATTTCAGGCTCTTTGGAAAGTCTCTCTTTTCCTCCTCCCCCATCTATTCTGATATAGATTGTTTTGCTCAGCTGTCTCTTTTCACTGTTTCTACGTTTCTGTAAGTCGCTTGTTTTGAAACTATGGTTCTCGGAATAAGCAACCCCCCACCCTCTATGTAACTGTTAGTCATAATGACTCGTTTCATTTCAAGATACATTTGCGATCTGGAAGTTCTTTGCCTGCTTCTGTTTTCTAAGGGATAAAGGAAGAACAGAGCCCGACGATGGCAGAGAAGTGTGACTGCATCGCCAGCATGTATGGCTATGATCTAGGGTGCCGCTTTGTTGATTTCAGGCCCCTAGGCGTTGGTGTCAACGGATTGGTCCTGTCAGCAGTTGACAGCAAAAGCTGCCGCAAAGTGGCTGTGAAGAAGATCGCCCTGAGTGATGCACGGAGCATGAAGCATGCCTTCCGTGAGATCAAGATTATCCGCCGGCTGGACCACGACAACGTTGTGAAAGTGTATGAGGTGTTGGGACCTAAGGGAGCTGATCTGCATGGGGAGCTTTTCAAGTTTAACGTGGTGTACATAGTCCAGGAATACATGGAGACTGACTTGGCTCGCCTGCTGGAGCAAGGAACGCTGAGTGAGGAACATGCCAAACTCTTCATGTACCAGCTGCTGAGAGGACTGAAGTACATCCACTCGGCTAATATACTGCACAGAGACCTCAAGCCTGCTAACATTTTCATTAACACGGAGGACCTGGTGTTGAAGATTGGTGACTTTGGGTTGGCAAGGATTGTAGATCAACATTACTCGCATAAGGTATGTGAAATGAAACCGCTGCTCTTTCCGTGTCAATCAGATTGCTCTCCAGGTCCAGGGGAGAGGGTGGGCTCAAACCAAATCCCCAAAACTCATCACAGCCCACAAATTTGAGGAGAGCTCCACTCTGGATTCATGTTCCGTTTGGGGCAGTGGACACATGTCTGACTTACACCAGTTTTGCATCGATGAAATTCTGTAGACTTCCATTTGAGTTAGTCTTGACTTAACATTGGTGTGAGAGGAGAACCTGCATCTTAGGCCCACTCTAAGCTAGGCTTCCACTGCCGGTTCTTTAGCTTCGTGGCATGATACGTGTTTATGACGGCAAGCAATAGGACCACAGCACTTCTCCTAAGGGAAAACCACTTATTGTTCCTATTCTGGGCACCTGTTGCAGGTGCCCAGAACTCCTTTCTGTTGATATTCTGTTGGATTTCTAGCAAATATTTCTTGGGTGTCAGTGCATAAAAGTTTCTCAACCTCTGACACTATTCCAAAATCATAGCAATCCATCTCTAGTGTATTGTTTTTCAAATGCAGTCACCGCAGTTGTATGCAGCCACCAATGGTGTTTTTTTGCAGCAGTGATGTGGGGAGAGGACAGCCTGTTTAATTTTGCTGTTGTAATTAGATCATCTCAAACTCTGAGGTTGGTGCTGCATCAGGTTCTAATTCTCTCCACCTTTTTCCAGTGTGAATGGTGGCTGTATCTATGCCATAGAACCTTCTCTTTGCTACACAATTGAGTGGCTTTTTGAAGAGTGATTAGCATGAGCCCAAACTAATCCCTCAGACCCAACTACTCTTGGGGTACTTGAAATCTGGGGATGTATCTACATGCTGCAAACTGCACACGAAGGAGCTTTTTTTCCCTCTCTTCTGTTCCTTACCAGCTCATCAGCAGGGTTTGAGCTTGGGCCCTTCAGCACCAAAGCACATATGAGCTGGAGGAGGTAACAGCTAGCAGGAGCAGGCTGCTAAATCCTGTGGCCTAGCCACTTGGGGGAAGAGGAGGAGCACTATGACACACATTTCTCAATTGTGTGATACATGTGCCTGATGTAGCCATTCATATCTGTGAAAATGTGGCCACATCTGACTTTTCAATTCATGCTTGCAGAATTCTAGTAGTAGAATTTTATGCCCACTTTGCCTAATGTAAGTGACCATGTGAGGGACAAAGCAGTGGACGAGCAGGCCTCGGATCTCTCATCAGCAGAGCGTATTTCCATCACTTCACATTGCTTAACGTCAGATCCCGGCTGCACTGACCTTCCTCTGTGTTACTCTTGGCCCGACGTAGCCCTGCTCTTCTAACCTGCACCATCTTGCCAGAAAAGGTTGTGTCTGGGAACCCACTAAGACTTTGCTGAAACCACCAAACCTATTTCTCTAGTGCAGTCAGCCTGGCCTTTAGAGGTGAAGCGATAACACCATAAGAATGATCAAACTGGTCTATCTAGCCCAGTCTCCTGTCTTCTGAAAGTGGCCAGTTCCAGGTGCTTCAGAGGAAAGGAATGGAACAGGTAATCCTCACGTGATCCTTCCCGCGTCGGCCATTCCCAGCTTCTGGCATAGATGCTAGGGACAGACCCCTCAGAGCATCTGTTTACATCTCTGCCCATCCTAGCTCATAGCCATTGATGATCCATTCTCTATTACAGGGGTGGGGATCCTCAGGCCTGTGGGCTAGATGTGGTCCCCAGCCCCAGACTCTCAGGGCTCTGCCCCTCAGCATTGGGGAGTCAGGGCTGGTGCTCCAGTCCCCTCTCTGCCCACCGTGGGGCTGGAGCACACCAGTCTACTAGCCTGGGCCCCTCTAGGCTCTGGTGTGTAAGGGGAATTCCTCTCCTCAGTCAGGGGCCACCGGAATGGGTTGTTTTTTGGTTGTTTTGGGGGGGTTTTGCTTCTTTGTGTGGCTCCCGACTGATTTTCCTGTGGGTCAGAAGCCCCACCACCCCTACTCTCTTAACTTATGTAGTTCTTTTCTGAACCATAGAAATACATACTGCACCTGGTCCTAGGCAGCGCTCTCGTTCAGTGACTCTCAACCAGGACTCTCACACTTCTGTGGGTATGCAGAGGTCTTCCAGCAGGCACATCAACCTAGCTAGGTATTTTTCTAGTTTTACAACAGGCTTCATAAAATGCACTAGTAAAGTCAGTACAAATTAATACTTTCATAGATGAACTGACTATGGCTTTATATATTATACACTGAAATGTAAGTACAGTATTTCTATGCCTATTTTATAATTATGTGGTAAAAATGAAAAGTTAGCAATTTTTCAGTAATGATAGGCCATGACACTTTTGTATTTTTTATGTCTGATTTTGTAAGGAAGTAGTTTTTAAGGGAAGCAAAATATGGGGATATGCAAGACAAATCAGACTGTTGAAAAGGGTATCGTAGACTGGAAAGGTTGAGAGCCACGGAGCTAACTGACTTCCCCTGGGATTTTTGTATGCATAACAAGCGTAGACTATATCCTAAACTAATGTATCTCACCATCCTGCAATGCAGCCCTTTTCCTGCTTTATTTGAATCTCTAACCAACGCACAGTACATATTTTGGTACTGTTAGTGAACTAGGTCTGCTCTCCCTTTGTTTTTCTTTTGTCAAAAACATCCCACCTTTTATTCACTATATATTTGTAGTCAGCTAAAGGTAAGTATTTGCTGATCTGTTTGCCCTTTATCACAAAATCAGTCAGATCCTGATTGTTGTATGTATGTTCAGCTCTGGTTAGCCTGGCAGTCCCACTAATTAGTTCCTCTCTCTCGTTTCTGAGATGAGACATCTAAATAATAAGACTGTGTTCTCTTTAGACGCTAGCCTATTAGGAAACAGAAAATCTGTCATTTAAGGCTTCACAAAGCACTATGTAAACTCCAGAAAAATCACAAATCCAACCAAGTAGATTATAGCATCTGACTTGCATTTTAAATACCCGATTAGTGGCATATAACAATTTAAGATTCTTATATAACTCCCTAAGCAGGAGAAGCTGCAACTATTATAAAACACAGTACCACTAAGTATGTGACCCAGCCAGCAAGCTCCTATCTTATGACCTTCTGCATAGAGCCCTGCTTTGATATTAAATTTGTGTTTTCATTTGTATCTGCAAAAATGAGTTGTGGCTGTCTGCATTGACATTCACGGATGCAGATACACGCAGATGTAAAGTGGATATTTGCAGAGTTGTAGACACAAAATTTGTATTTGCAGCCACATCCCTATCAGCAAATATAAGCGGTGGATATCCACATTCACATCTACAGATATCCGTAGTTTTGCAGGATTCTACTTGTGCAGCATGACCAGGGTGCTCAATTCATTCTGTAACAGTGTGCCTGGTGTATGTGTAGCAAAATGCAGGACAATGTAGCACTTTAAAGACTAACAAGATGGTTTATTAGATGATGAGCTTTCGTGGGCCAGACTCAGATCAAATAGTGGAAGAAAGTAGTCACAACCATATATACCAAAGGATACAATTAAAAAAAATGAACAAATATGAAAAGGACAAATGACATTGCAGAACAGGAGGGGGATGCGGGCGGGGGGGGGGGAATTGCAGAACAGAAGGGGGATGCGGGGGGGTGGGAAGGGGGAGGAAGGAAGGTAAGTGTCTGTGAATTGCTGATATTAAAGGTAGGGAGAGTGGGATGTTTGTGAGTTAATGGTATTACAGGTGATAATTGGGGAAACTGTCTTGGTAATGGGTGAGAAAGTTCAAAGACTTGTTAAGTCCTTGTTGGTAAGTGTCGAATTTTAACATGAATGACAGTTCAGAGGATTCCCTTTCAAGTGCAGATGTAAAAGGTCTTTGTAGCAGAATGCAGGTGGCTAAGTCATTTAGAGAGTGTCCTTTCTGGTTAAAGTGGCAAGAAACTGTTTTCTCTTTGTGATCTTGTCTGATATCTGTTTTGTGGGCATTAATCCTTTGGCGAAGTGTCTGAGATGTTTGTCCAATGTACATAGCAGACGGACACTTTCGGCACATGATAGCGTAGATTATATTTCTGGATGCGCAGGAATATGTGTTCTTGATCTTATAACTCACTTGGTTAGGTCCAATAATGGTATCAGCAGAATGAATATGTGGACAAAGCTGGCAACGGGGTTTGTTGCAAGGGAAGGTACCAGGGTTGGTATTAGTGTGGTATGTCCTGTGGTGGTTGGTAAGAATCATCTTGAGGTTAGGTGGTTGTCTATAGGAGACTATGGGTCTGTCTCCCAGAGCCTCTTTGAGTATGGTATCCTGTTCCAATATAGGCTGTAGTTTATTGATAATGTGTTGGACAGGTTTAAGTTGGGGGTTGTAGGTGATGACAAGTGGTGTTCTATTGTTGGTTTTCTTGGGTCTGTCTTGAAGTAGATGGTTTCTAGGTATTCGTCTGGCTCTTTCAATTTGCTTTTTTGTTTCTCTGGGTGGGTAGTTGAGATTTATAAATGCTTGGTAGAGATCCTGAAGCTTCTGGTCTCTGTCAGTGGGGTTAGAGCAGATGCGGTTGTATCGAAGGGCTTGGCTTTAGACGATGGATCGTGTGGTGTGTTCTGGATGGGAGCTGGATGCATGTAGGTAACTGTATGAGTCGGTGGGTTTTCTGTAGAGAGTGGTGTCTAATTTTCCATTGTTGATTTGTACTGTGGTGTCCAGGAAGTGGATCTCTCGTGTAGAATGGTCCAGGCTGAGGTTGATGGTGGGGTGTAGGTTGTTGAAATCTCTGTGGAATATCTCCAGTGTTTCTTGGCCATGTGTCCAGATCATAAAGATGTCATCGATGTACCGTAGGTAGAGGGGGGGGTGAAAGGGGACGGGAGTTGAGGAAACGTTGTATGTGTGAACTACTACTCTCTCCTGGAAGGATTTAGGATGGCTCAGCTGTGTGTCATAGGCAGGCCTTAAGCAACTTATAACTAATGGACATTCTGCTCAGTTGGAGAAAAGGCTCAGAGAGATCTCTGTTTCACTGTGAAGTTCAGCTG